AATTAGTATAGCACAGTCATTTTCTGTACTAAGTACTAAGAGTCATTACAAAGAAAGAAGATTTACATGGCCACAAAAGGTCACACAAAAATAGGAAATTATTTTTTGTTCCTCGGTATATACCAATGTAAATGTACTGAATTATCTTTCTTGGTGGGGTCTGGGGTAAAGGGGAATCAGAGTTAAAAGGAATTTCAGGTCTGCTTGTAATGTTCCAGTATGTTAAGAATGTAATAACATATTGGCAATTTCAAACTAGTAAGTTAATATCTAAAACTATTTACAATGTAAAGAAACAAGGTTTACTTCTGTGAGGAGCAAATCTTACCTATGCAAAAAGCTTTCTTTTGCTAGCTGAATTTGTAGTGTTCCACCTTTCCATTTTGTTTTATTTAAAACAGACATACCTATAAAGTAAAAGAAGTATTATCTAAGGATACAGCAGTATAAATACATATATGAGCATGTACTTTTTGTAATTATTTAGAACCAATAAGAGTAGGCTAGTTTATTACAGAGACAGTTGAAGAAAAACGAGTCGTGGGGAGAGGCAACCTAGATGCCTGTCTCACCCAGGCCACTTACAAGGAGGCTCCTTATACTCCACGTTTCAGTGTTACTCGAAGATTGGAAAGAGGCAAAAGATGTAAACTGTAAAGCAAAACTTATGTGCACTCGCATTGGAACTAATTCAGGAACCTCTGGTAAACAACTGACATTATTTAGTATTTCCTTGTTATTTCCCATACTATAAGTATGAAATACTAATGTAATCTTTTAGAGTCATTCAGATATTTTGGAATGCTTTAGCACCTTACTTTTATTTATCCTCTCAAACTAATTTTCACTGTATAATCTACAAGTAACTGAACTATGTTTGAATTGTTATGGCTGAACATCTCATTTTTTGACTATCTTCTCAGCCTCCTTAATAGAAACCAGTAGTAGATACAATTTTTTACGTGGTAGCTACTATACAAAGTAAAATGTAGTATTTAATTTAATATAATCCTACACTAATATTATGAGGCAAGCACTTTCTTTTGTCATGCATCAGATAGAACTGCAGTTTAGATGTTTAAATAACTTATCACAGATAAGATCACAGAATCAATGCAAGGGCCAGTGCTGTGGCGCAATGGGTTAAAGCCCCAGCCTGCAGTGTTGGCATCCCATATAGGCGCTGGTTCAAGTCCTGGCTGCTCTACTTCCAAGCCAGCTCTCTGCTAATGCACCTGGGAAAACAGTGAAAGATGGCCCAAGTGTTTGGGCCTTTGCCACTCAGGTGGCAGACCCAGCTGATGCTCTTGGCTTCAGCCTGGCCCAGCCCTGACCTTTGGGGTCATCTGAAGATTTTTTTTTTTTAATTTATTTTATTTATTTGAAAGGCAGAGTTAGAGAGAAAGGCAGAGACAGAGAGAGAGAGGTCTTCCATCCACTGGTTCACTCTCCAGATGGCCCCAACAGCAAAGGCTGGGCCATGCTGAAGCCAGGTGCATCACCTGGGTCTCCCACATTGGTGGCAAGGGCTCAAACACTTGGGCCATTTTTCACTGCTTTCCCAGGCCATTAGCAGGGAGCAGCTGGGACTCAAACTGGTGCCCATACAGGGATGCCCGACTTGCAGGCAGTTTTAACCATTATGTCACAAATGCTAGCCCCGAGCCAATGTATTCTTGATGACAATTTCAACTTCATATTTGTTAGATCTATTTCCTCACTCAATAGCACATAAAACAATTATCTTTTTTTTTTTTTTTTTTAAGAGGCAGAATGGACAGTGAGAGAGAGAGAGAGACAGATAGAAAGGTCTTCCTTTTCCATTGGTTCACTCCCCCAGTGGCTGCTGTGGCCGGTGCACCACGCTGATCCGAAGCCAGGAGCCAGGTGCTTCTCCTGGTCTCCCATGTGGGTGCAGGGTCCAAACACTTGGGCCATCCTCCACTGCACTCCCGGGCCACAGCAGAGAGCTGGCCTGGAAGAGGAGCAACCGGGACTAGAACCCGGTGCCCCGATCAGGACTAGAACCTGGGGTGCCAGCGCCACAGGTGGAGGATTAGCCGAATGAGCCACGGCGCCGGCCTAAAACATCTTGTAAATGAAATTATAAAAGACTGCTGGCTGTTTCCATTTATTAGTATGTTCCCTTTATTGACTTTTGTGTTTTTTGACTTTTCGGCTTCCAAGTAACTAGAATACATTACCGTACCAGTAGCAGTATGTATCATCTCCCCTTCCTTGTTCATGTAAAGTAACCATTTGGCCTCAGCTTTAGTAGAGTTATTAACAGGAGACATCACAGTTTCAAGGACATGGTCTTACAAGGGTGTAACGTGAAGCCTTCTCCTACTGACTGTATCTAACAACAAGGATTAGCTGGCTGCCCAAGAAGTAAACAGACTAAAGAGAGAGTGTGGCAAAATATACACTGAAATATATGCAACAAGCAATTTCTGTGCAAGTTTGGCCCTGAATACTTGAGAATACCAGTTTTTGTGCAAACCCACCAGCAATGTGTTACGATGCTTGCTGACGCCAGTGGGATGGATAGCTAGATCTGCTGAGTTGCAGGATACGAGAACGCTCTTGATCATGGTTAACCTTCTGGGTAACTTAAAAATGGCCATTCAGGCTTAGATTTAGAACCAAAGTTACATAGTGATCCTAAGCAGCAATTAGTACAGAAAATACATTACAATCTTACATTTTTTCAGGTCACCTTCTGCTATTCGGATGTTGACATATGCAAATACTTTCTGTGGGTTTCCTAAAAAAGAAAGTAAATTTATTTAAAACTTCTACATAGAGAACAATGTAAAAATTATTACGTTTGTAACTATTAAAATGAGCTTTAAGAAATTTACTCTTTCAAAGAAACACCTTGTTTACCTTTTATTGGATACAAAGTTACATTTTTCTAAGCATGACTGTCAAAATATTCAAAAGAAAAAAAGAAACTCAAGTAGTATTTTTTTTAATTGATGTATTTGAAACTCAGAGTTAGAGAGATGTTCCATCTGCTAGTTCACTCCCCGACTTGTCCACAACCAGGAGCTAGGAATTGGTTTGGAAGTGGAGCAGCTGCGACTTGAACCAGTAGTACCCAATGGGATGCCAGTGACACAAGCAGCAGCCTTACCACTACACCACAACACTTGGCCCCAAGAAAGCATCTTGATTGTACATTAGTGACAGCCTACCTAACAGGACACTTAAATAAATCAATGTTAGCTTTGAAAATGAAAAATTAGATGTTTAATTTTCCTGTTAAGAAACCAATTTTGAGTAAGTCCTATACCATACATAACACTTCCAGGTCATGACATCGGGATTTCAGTATTCACAGCTAACATCCATCTTTGGGGTTGCTTTATTTTATTAACACGTCACCTGAATTATCCCTGCTTTTAATTAACTACACAGTGAAGGACAGCAAGTTTACCTTGGTCATCTTTCCGTGTGATGATCTCCACATCAGAAACTTCTCCAAATCTGCTGAACTGATTTTGTAGGTCTGCCTCAGAAATGGTCTGGCCAAGGCCACCCACAAAAAGGCGTTTTGTTTCTCTGCTGGCTTTCATGAAGTCTGAGAATACACTCTTGTGTGCTAGCAGAAAAAGTAATTTTCTATATTCAGAGAAGAGCTCTTTCCCTCAGTTCTTTTCCAATGTAAGAAAACAACTGTTTCCTGTGAAGCTTCTGTGCCAAACTGGTAGCCCAGACCCTGTTTCACTTCAGATTTGACCCCTGGAGGTGCTTCTCAGGCCCTCCTCCCGCATTGCCTGGGCTGCACGCCGAAATAGCAGCCACACCTACGGACGCAGGTACGGCCGGATGTTCTCACTCTAAATGACCAAAAATTATACTCTGCCTTTCCTTGTTTACTACTCAGGTTGTAAGATATTTTTCCTGGATTCATTCATACAGGCGTTTATTTAACAAATACGGGCAGAAATAGGATGTGGCAGGCAGTACAGGCTAAAGCGGATAAAAAAAGTCCCCAGCCTGGGGCTCCACACATTCTTAAGTGAAGTAAAGAAATGCTGCAAATACGATACTTTGTCACAATAAAAGTGTCTGCGAGACACAAAAGAGAGCAACAGTATGGGCTTGTTTGACTATGCGCCTGCATTGTACACAGTAGTTCATATGTATTCCACTTTTCAGATGAGGTTAAGTCATTTTCCCAAAGATATACTTCCCGAAGAAAATCGGTGGTGAAACCAGAATTATAATCCAGATCAAACTGCAGAACTTGGGAGTTCTTGACATTATATTCCTAACATTATTGGACTGAGGGATTCGGAAAAACTGTTTCAAAGACAGTGAGGTTTGCCGCCCAGCCTAAGATTTCCCACCACAGCCAGCGCCGGGCAGGTGCCCAGCTTCCACCTTGACAGACGCCCCCCCAAGGAGACCTCAAACCAGCGACAGAAGCCCAGCGCATGGCCCGCAGTCCGGGCGACAGCTATGGTCTGCCACTTCCGGGTAGCCTTCGTGCCTAACCCAGCCAGCCGCCCAGCCTTCTTCCTTCAAGACGACACAAAGATGAGACGGGAGAGGACACCCCAACCGGCCCGTCACGTCCCAAGCCCCAAGCAGCTCCTCACCACACGCTTCTAGCGCCAGTTACACCACCGCGGAGGCTCCCAGATGCTAATCACAGGGGCCCACGGGCACCCTGCTCTCTTCCTTCCTCCGCGATTTCCAACCCTGCCTCCGAAGGTTCCGTCTGCACATTCAGTTCTCAAAGGCTCTTTACTTTCATTGTCTGAGCTACCCTGATGCCTCCGCCATCTCCTCAAAGATCGCTAATGACCCCAAACTAAAATGCCCCATTTGTTACTGAAGAGCATTATCGCCACGTGCTCATAATCTCTCGGAATAGACAGACGGAAATGAAAGCGCGGAAGAAAAATAACGCGGCACTTCCCTTCAGGGGATCCGGGAAACGCCTCTTCAGTGACGTAGGCGTCCGGGCGGCTCCAAGGCTGTCCAGGGGGGGTGAGCGGCCGAGTGCTTGGACTTGGAGTTGGAATAACGCAACTCTGGGTAGGGTAGAGGCTGCTAGGAGACAACCGTAGTAACGCGGGGCGGGACGTCCAGGGTACCATGCGAGCTCGTGGATGGACCGACTGCCAGGGCCACGGGAGTCGCGCGTCTTTCCGCTGCTTCCCCCCGGAGAGCTCCGGGATGGTGCGTTCCGGGAGCGCGCGGGAGGCTTGAAATGCCGGGCTGGGCGCGCCACCATCCTAGTAGCGGGTTCGCAGTGGGCTGGGTTCGACTCTGAGTGGTGCTATGGACGCCCAGCGCGCTGAACTCTGTGCTTTGGAGGCGGAGGTCGCAGTCCTGCGGCGGGCGTGCGACGAGCTGCCAGTTCCTTGGAGCGAGACGTCCAGAATCCAGTACGTGGCTTCTTATCACACTCTGAACCCGTGTACCTGAGCTAGGCGAGTGAATCCGCGTAGACAGCCAGGCCCTGGGCTGAAAGTGTAGCGTAGGTGCCCCTAAAATGTGGGCTTGCATAGCGACATGCCCAGAATTCTGAATAGTGGTAACTCGTTTGATGGCAGTCGTGAGAAAGTCGTTTTCATACGCGTTCTCTTCTGTGTTGAGAGTTGTGGGTGCCTTGCCTTCGGTAGGCAGCAGTACCTGGTTGGGATTTCATACCTGCGCTTGGTTCTTGGCATTTGTTTTTAAGGGCCCCCTAACTAAGGCAGGTGATGCTGATTTTTCTTTATGGTAATGACATAAGTTCTCCTTTAAGAATAACTTGACAAGGAAATGTCAATAAATTGACATGTCAATTATGAGCGTCAATGAATGTCAGTGAGTTGACATAAAGAAAAATTGTTTGATCTAATCTGTAGAAAAAAACATGCAAGCTACTTGAAAGTATTATCTTCATTTTTTTAGTCGAGGCTAATTAGATACAGGTGCAGAGAAAAATATTCCTGAGCTAACTGGGTAAGAGCTGGTGGAATATAGGGGAAGAAGCTTGCTACAGAAACTGGACAGTGTATGTGGGCGTGAAAAGTGGAAGATGTGACTGATTGGAGGGAGAGGCAGGTGAATAGGGCTCATACGTGCTTCTCTGCAAGTGAAAGGTATCATAGACCCTTCCTACTTCAGGTGTGCCCCACAGGTTGGAAGCTTTAGGGTAACCTGGGAGTTTCCTAGGAAAGCGACTTCAACCCACCCCCATCTATTGAATCAAGGTCTGCTTTTTAGCAAGGCACCTTCCTCCCACTCCCAGTTTGTGTACACACTGCAGACTCTGAGAAGCACTGTGTCCTACGTGGAGGGGAATTGGTTTCCTACTGCCTGTTGTTCATGTAACAGGGGAGTCCTCCATGATTACATGGGAAAGTCGGAGAGTCCAGATTGTGAGACTCATTACTCATTATGTTAGCCTAAGGGAGTGGGGGCTTTTGATGCAGCCGCGAGGACTCCACATGGGATGCCCACATCCCATATCTGAGCGACTACGTTTATGTCCTGCTCTGACGTTAATTCCAGTTTCTTGCCGATATTTTGGGCTTCTGGTATTGGCCTGGCTGTTCTAGGTATTTGGGAAGTGAACCCAAATAATTCTAGGTAATTGGGAAGTGAACCCAGCAGATGGAATACCTCTCTCCCTTCCCCTCCCCGCTCCCTCTCCCCTCCTCTCTCCCCCCTCCTCCTCCCCCTCTCTCTTTCCCTTTCCCCTCCTCTCTTTCTCCCCCTCTCTCTTTCTGCCTTTCAGATAAATAAAAAATAAATAAATTAATAAATAAATTTTAATGTCAGACCTAGTTGTTTGGGTTTAAAGTGAAGTTGCTTTTAACTGTGGTGGAGAAGGAAAACTGACACCTGTGAACCAGGCTATTTTTAAGGGATTTGAAGTGGTTGGATGGATTGGAGGTGGGAAAGCTGGCAGTACATTGTCCAACTATATCCACGTGTCCACACTCGGAGGCCAGATTATCTGCCTTCCAATCCGGGCTCTGGTACTGGCTGACTAGTCGGGCTTAAGTGATCTCCCCTTCTGTGCTTCAGTTTCCTCCTTGGTAAAATTATACCCAAGTTCTTGGATTGTTAGGACTAAAAATTAGTATCTATGATTCATTTAGAACAGTGCTTGGCTCATAACACTAGCACTGATTAATAGAACATTGAGTCTGAAAGTTGTGTATAGATTTTTTTTAAAGAAAATGATTTCCTGGGGGCGGGCACGTTGCATAGTGGGGTAAAGCTGCCGCCTGCAGTGCCAGCATCCCATATGGGCACCGGTTTGAGTCCCAGCTGCTCCACTTCCAATCCAGCGTTCTGCTATGGCCTGGGAAAGCAGTAAAAGGTGGTCCAAGTCCTTGGGCCTCTGCACCTGCATGGGAGACCTGGAGGAAGCTCCTGGCTTCGATCGGCGAAGCTCCGACCGTTGCGGCTAATTGGGGAGTGAACCAGGGGATTGAAGACCTCTCTTTGTCTGCCTCTCCTTCTTTCTCTCTGTGTAACTCTGACTTTCAAATAAATAAATATATCTTAAAAAAAAGTTTGTCAAAATTGGGTTCACAAAAAACTTTAAGATATATTTATTTATTTGAAAGAGTTAAAAAGAGAAGGAGAGGCAGAAAGAGGTCTTCCATTCGCTGGTGCACTCCCCAGATGGCTGCAATGGCCAAAGCTGTGCCCATCCAGAGCCAGGAGCTTCTTCCGGGTGTCCCACGCGGGTGCAGGGGCCCAAGGACTTGGGCCATCTTCCACTGCTTTCCCAGACCACAGCAGAGAGCTGGATTGGAAGTGGAGCAGACCGGACTCGAACTGGTACCCATGTGGGATGCCAGCGCCTCTGGAAGAGTCTTAGCCCACTAGGCCACAGCACCGGCCCCTTGACAAACTTTTATGTAAGACAAGTTTGTTAATAAAACTACAAAACCAATAAAATTCAGACTAACTCAAAAATAGTTCAAATTAATATCATTATTTAAAATAGACCAATAATACTTTCTTCAAAGTCAATAGCTTGTATGAATGAGAATATGAAGGATCGTATTTTGTTTGTACTATAAAATATCGAGTTTAGTGTTTTAACCATTTTTATGTGTATAGTAACATTAAACACATTCTCATTGTTGTGAAACATTACCACTGTCCATCTCCAGAACTTTATTTTTGTTTTCGAAGGCACAAAGATAAGTCTCTTCCATCCCCTGGTTCACTCCCCAAATGTCCACAGTAGCTTGGGCTGAAGCCAGGAGCCCAGAACTCAATCTGGTTTTTCTGTGTGGAATACAGGGACCCAATAACTCAAGCCATCACCTGCTATCTGCCAGGATGCACGTTAGTAGGAAGCTAGAATCAGAAGTGGAGCTGGGACTTGAACCCAGGCTCTTTGATTTGGGCTGCAGCTGTCTGAAGCAGTGTCTTTAACTGCTGCATCAGACTTCACCCCCAGAACTTTCATTACTCCAGACTGAAACTCTACGCCTATACAACGTAATTCCCCATTTTCTCCTCTGCCAACTACAGATTGTTGAGTTCTATGTATGTGTATTTTAATATGACGACTTTGTTCTCCTATAACTTTGCTCTAAGATCTTTAGTCATATTTTGGTGTGAGATTACTTGACTACTTGGCAGGAACTCATTGTGTGTGCATATTGTTGCTGTTCTTTTTTTATTGGCTTTTTTTTTTTTTAAGATTTTATTTATTTGAGAGGTAGAGTTACAGACAGTGAGAGGTAGAGACAGAGAGAGAGGTCTTCCATCCACTGGTTCACCTCCCCAGATGGCCACAATGGCTGGAGCTGCGCCCATCCGAAGCCAAGAGCCAGGAGATTCTTCCTGGCCTCCCACGTGGTTGCAGGGGCCCAAGCACTTGGGCCATCTTCTACTGCTTTCCCAGGCCATAGAGGAGAGCTGGCTTGGAAGAGGAGCAGCGGGACTAGAATGGGATGCTGGAGCTGCAGGCAGAGGATTAACCTACTGTGCCACAGCACCAGCCCCTGGCTTTTACTTATTTTTTAACGTTCTATTAAAAGGCAGTTTACCAAGAAATGCACTTAAGTGTATGGATCAATAAGATTTTCTTTGGTCATTTGATCGCCCCCATAACCAGCAAGGCTTTTTATATTTAAAGTAATTTTCCTTGCATCAGTCCATGATGGCAGAGGCAAATAAGGGTTTGGTGGGGCTGCCATTGTGGCACAGTGGGTTCAGTCGACACTTGAAATGCTGGCCTCTCATATCAGAGAGCTCATTCTAATCCTGGGGGTTCTGCTTCCAACTAGCTCCCTGTTAATGTGCCCTGGAAAGTAGCAGATGATGGCTCAAGTGCTTGTGCCCTGGCCATCTAATGGGAGACCCGGATGGAGTGCCAGGCTTGTGGCTTCAACGTGGCCAGGCCTGGCTGCTGCGGTCATCTGGAGAGTGAACCAACAGTTCAGAGATTCACCCTCTCATTGCCCTCTCTCTCCTTCCACCCTTTTTCCCCTTCCCTCTCCCCTCTATCTCTGTGTTTGTCTCTCTTTCACTCTGTCTTTAAAATAAATAAATCTTTAAAAAAAAAAAAAAAAGAACCTAACAGTTGGTAGTCTTTCATATGATACAGAATATACTTAATATTTTAAAGTCCCATTAAAACAAGATTAAAATAATTTTTCACAGATCTTATACTGGTTTTGTATATGCAGTGTGAGCAGTACGGAGTTAATTATTCCATGCAGACATGGTATAGGGTCATGAGAGCATTGAAAAGGAAGAACAGGCTTGTGAGGGAGCAGAAGGATAACAGGTCCAGATGTGAGGAAGTAAAGGAGTCAGAGGACTTCCAACATGTGAAGCCCAAAACAATCAAGGGAAAGACTCTATCATTAACAAAGTAGCGAAATCTGGAGCAAAAGCTGAATCAAGGGAAAAACTTGTTGTAGGATATCAAGCAAGGTCTACTTTGCAGGAAGAAAATATATATGGTGAATGGTATGTATTTCAGGAGTTATTGGCATAAAGGAGCTGAGGCAGATCATGATCTATTTCTGGGAATTGAAGATACAAATTTAGGACAGTAGACACAATAGTATCAGGATTTTCCTCTAACGTTGGAGACAGGAAACAGATACAGTAGAGGACCCAAGATACAAAATGGGGATCAGGGTAATCATGCCTCAAAACCTAAGGAAGGGCCTGACGTTGTGGCTGCGTCGTATAATCTGCCGCCTGCAGCACTGGCGTCCCACGTAGAGCACTGTTAAGGCAGTTCCACCTCAGCTCCCTGCTAATGTGTCTGAAAACGCAGCAGGTGATGGCCCAAGTACTTGGATCCCTACCACCCACTTGGAAAACCAGGATGGGGTTTCAGACTCCTAGCTGTGGCCTGGTCCAGGCCTAGCCACTGTGGCCATTTGAGGAGTAAACCAGTGTATGGAAGATCTCTTTTGCTCACTGTCTCTGTCACTTTGCCTTTCAAATAAATCTTAAAAATCCAAAGATGGAGTGTTTTAAGTTAGAAGAAGTCAATAGTGTGATATGTAGCAGAGTTTAAGGGAAATAAAGAATGACAAAAAATATGATAGAACCCAACACAATTATTAGATAATATTTTTCTGAGGAAAATAGCATGTATTCTCAATGAAGAATGGTGTTAGTATTGTTTAAAAATACTATTTTGTTTGTAATTTTTATTCCCATTTTCTTAGATTTCCTAAGAAATCTTAGTATAAAATGTTCTGTAATATTTACTTATTTGAGAAATGAGCTAATTTTTGTTTAATTTCCACACATCTTTTAAAATAATTTGAAATGTCTTGAGATATTAAAAGTGTTTCTAGAGTAGAAACATAGTAACATGATTTGATTGTGTTTACTTTTTGTTTAAAAGATCGTAGTGTTAGAAGGCACACTCATTTTGAGAAAATTCTTAGTTTAATGGGAAGAGGGGCAAAATGGGAATGGTTTGAGGAAGATTAGTGGTATTAGATGAAGAATTTGTAAGCCATTGGAGTAACTAGTTCTGATATTTGCTTTTTTAGAAAATTATTTCAAGAAATACACCCTTCAGATTCTGCAGGAGGGGAATCTTCAGAAGATCTGAGAAGTCGTGTTGGACGATTAGAATCGGAACTTGCATTTCTAAATACAGTAACTGGCATCAGTATAAGGAATTACTCCAAGCAGACAGAGGACCTAACAAGCACTGAGGTGACAGAAAAGAGTAAGCATTATTCTTTTTGACTAGAAGTAGTATTGACAGTTACTTATTATGACAGAAGTAGTATTGACAGTTACTTATTATGCACAGGAAATTGGTTCTCATAATGGTAGATTAATATTCTACAGAGTGATTATTTCAAAGTGTGGTGGTAATAAACCTTTGTAGTCTGGTATCTTGAACATCACAGTATGAGTAACATTCTTGAAAACTGAGGTAAGTATTAAAGATTAGACATAGTAGCTGTCAGGAAGTACTTTGATAGTCAACTAGTAGTCATAAGTGATAAGTCATTGTAAGAAAATCACCTAATTTTTGTAGTTCATCAGGGACATGAATGCTGCCTCATCTACAGTGCTCTACTGTAGACTGTGATAGCCTGTAGCCAAACAAATGTCTCAGTGGCTGGACCTTTCCCCAGAAGGAAGGTTTCTGGTCCCAATGATTAAATTTTATTGCCAAAGAGACACAGTGCATTAACAGGTAAAGGGAAGCTGTCTTAGGTTGGACAAAGATACATTCCTAATTCAGCCATTTGTGGAAATGCTTCCTGACTTTTCTTCTGAAATAACTCATGGGAGCGGGAGAGTGACCTCAGAGCATGTTGGGCAGCTCACTGCAGAGGTGGGGAGATTGGATTACATATAGAAATGGAGTTACAGAATTTAGAGACTTAATTGCTTAAAAGGAAGTGGTAGAATACGGAGAGTACAGAGTGAAAATAGGGCAGATGTAAGACTTTTTAAAATTTTTTTTTAAAGATTGATTTGAAAGGCAGAAATAGAGTGAAGGAGGGAGAGAGAGAGAGAGGGAGGGACACAGAGAGATCTTCCATCTACTGGTTCACTCTCCAGATGGCCACAATGGCCAGGCCAGGAGTTTCTTCCAGGTCTCCCGTGCGGGTACAGGGGCCCAAGCACTTGGGCCATCTTCCACTGCTCTCCCAGGCATGATAGCAGGGAGCTGGATTGGAAGTAGAGCAGCCAGGACTTGAACCGGTGCCCATATGGGATACCGACACTGCAGGTGGAAGCTTAACCTTCTGTGCCACAGCGCCGGCCCTGACGTCTAAAACTTTTACTGGCATAAAAGTCTCAACATAAAGGCTAGGCAACGGATCTTAAGAAAGCTACTGTGAGCTGGTGCCGCGGCTCACTAGGCTAATCCTCCACTTGTGGCGCCGGCACACCGGGTTCTAGTCCCGGTCGGGGCGCCGGATTCTGTCCCGGTTGCCCCTCTTCCAGGCCTGCTCTCTGCTGTGGCCAGGGAAGGTAGTGGAGGATGGCCCAAGTCCTTGGGCCCTGCACTCCATGGGAGACCAGGAGAAGTACCTGGCTTCTGCCTTCGGATCAGCACAGTGCACCAGCCGCAGTGGCCATAGGAGGGTGAACCAACGGCAAAGGAAGACCTTTCTCTCTGTCTCTCTCTTTCACTGCCCACTCTGCCTGTCAAAAAAAAAAAAAAAAAAAAAAAAAACTTGGGTAAGATAAAAATTATAAAGAAAAAGATTTTTAAAGCCAGGCATTCAAGTAGTTGTGAGGATTTCCTGAATTGATTTGTGAGGCAACTAGTGAGAGTAATGGCACTAGAAGAGGAATATTTTCAACAGAAATAGAATGAAGAATGACATCAGTAGGCAAATGTGGTCTAGACGTGAAATATTCCAGTCATATTAAACCGTGTGACAATATTGTGCCTTGTGTCACTTTTTTTTTTTTTCACAAGATGAGCTCTATGTTAGTGTAGAACTGGGTGATGTTACAAGAAGATGGAACAGCTTGATAGGCTTCACAGTTTAAAAATGCTTGAAAGCTCAGTCATATGTCACAGTTTCTGTTTCTTTATAACACATAAAAGATTACCAGCTAAAAGTAAATAGTTCTTTATTTTTTTTTTTTAAAGATTTTTTTATTTATTTGAGAGGTAGAGTTACAGACAGTGAGAGGGAGAGACAGATGCCCACAATAGCCAGAGCTGCGCTGATCCGAAGCCAGGAGCCAGAAGCTTCTTCCTGGTCTCCCATGTGTGTGCAGTGGCCCAAGCACTTGGGCCATCCTCCACTGCCTTCCCAGGCCACAGCAGAGAGCTGGACTGGAAGAGGAGCAGCCGGGACTTGAACTGGCGCCCATTTGGGATTCTGCGCTGCAGGGATTAACCTACTGCATCACAGCACCATATCCATAGTTCTTCTTTAGGCCAAGTGATAAACCTTGTTCAAAATGATAGTTATCATACTGTATTTTGGCAACTTTTTAATCTGTTAAGCGAAGTGAAAGTGAAATAATTTGATTTAGTGTGTGTGTCAGGTGATCTGTGATGCCATCAAATTCTTACCAAATAGGTACTGGGTCTGGCTGAGTCACTTGATTGACTAGGAGCATTCAAAAGACAACTGTTGGAAGTTATTCCTTTCAGTATATGTTAGTTGTGCAGACACTGTTCCTCTGATGTGTAGATGCTAGGCAATCAGATGATGTTTGTTCATCCGGGGGCGTGGAGAGAGGCGTGGAGAGACAGCTCCCATTAGTTGGTACAGTTCCCAAATGCTACAAGAACTGGGGCTAGCAGCCAGGAAAGCAGTCCAGGTCTCCCACATGAGATAGGAACTCAATTTCTTGAGCCATCACCTGTGTCTGCTAGGGTCTGCCCTGGCAGGAAGCTGGAGGCCAGAGCCAGCAATTGAACCGAAGCACTCGAATGTGGGACACAGATGCCTTAACTGCTAGGCTAAATTGAGTTTTACAGCTTTTTTTTTTTTTTTTTTTTGATTTATTTATTTGATAGCCAGAGTTAGAGAGAGGAGAGGCAGAGAGAGGTCTTCGATCCGATGGTTCGCTCCCCAGATGGCTGCAACAACCGGAGCTGTGCCAATCTGAAGCCAGGAGCTTCTTCCAGATCTCCCAGGCGGGTGCGGGGGCCCAAGGACCTGGGTCATCTTCCACTGCTTTCCCAGGCCATAGCAGAGCGCTGCATTGGAAGCCCCGGCATTGACATTTTTGAAAGCCACTTGTTTTGGTTATCCATCAATCTTTTTGTCTTGATTTATTATTATTGATGAGATTAAGGCTATGGATTTTTGGCAGGAAAACTACATAAATCATGTTTTGTTTTGTTTTTTGACAGGCAGAGTGGATAGTAAGAGAGAGAAAGATCTTCCTTTTTGCCGTTGGTTCACCCTCCAATGGCCACCGCGGCCGGTGCGCTGCGGCTGGTGCATCGCGCTGATCAGAAGTCAGGAGCCAGGTGCCTCTCCTGGTCTCCCATGCAGGTGCAGGGCCCAATGACTTGTGCCATCCTCCACTGCACTCCCAGGCCCATAGCAGAGAGCTGACCTGGAAGAGGGGCAACCGGAACAGAATCCGGCGCCCCGACCGGGACTAGAACCCGGTGTGCCGGCACCACAAGGCAGAGGATTAGCCTATTGAGCCATGGCGCTGGCCTATGTTTTGTTCTGAACAGTACATCTAGTCAAGAGGCAGACGATGCTAGTTTACACCATCCTGTCCTGTTTTCCTAACTACACATTAAACCTGTCTTCCCATTTTGAGCTCCAAGCTTACCCCTCCTGTAGAGGTACTTAATGCTGTTTTTTGAAATTGCCTTTCTAGTATTCTATGTAAGTGGCCTTGCTTCTGGAATTGTCTCCTTGCTAACTTGGTTTTCAGTTTTCCTGGGTCTTCCGGGTCAGTTCCATTTGTTTATGTAGTTCATCTATCTGACCATAGCTTCTTTCTTTGCTCTTCTCTTCGCTCTTTTAGAAGTGTACCCTTTTAAAAATAACTTCATTAGGAGCAGATGTTTAGCCTAGGAGTTAGGATGTCTGTTGGAATGTCTGAATCACATTTTAGAGTACCTGGGATTGAGTCCTGGCTCTGGATCCCAAATCCAGCTTTCTGTTAATGTAGACCCTTGGAGGTAGCAGGAGATAGCTCAAGTTGTTGTTGAGTTCCTGCCACCCAGGTGGGATACTTGGATTAAGTTCCCTTTCTGTCTTTTTGGGTGTTAGAAGCATTTGGGCAGTGAACGAACAAATGGGAACTCTGTTTCTGTCTCTCTGTCCCTCAAAAATAAATAGGAACCAGCAATGTGGCATAGAGGGTTAAGCCACCATTTACAGTGCCAGAATCCCATCTCAGAACACCTGTTCAAGGACCTGGGAAGATAGTGGAATATGAGCCATTCACACATTTAAATACATAAAATGTCCTATTCTTGGGATTGATATTGCAGCACATCAGGTTAAGCCACTGCCTGTAATGCTGGAATCTCATCTGAGCACTGGTTCAAGTCCCAGTTGTTCTGCTTCAGATCTAGCTCCCTGCTAATGCACCTGGAAAGCAATGGAAGATGGCCCAAGTACTTGCGCACCTGCCACCCTTGTGAAAAACCTGGATGGAGTTCCTAGCTCTTGGCATCAGCCTGACCCAGAACTGGCTATTATGGTCACTTTTGGACTGGGTTGGTAGATGGAAAATATCTCCCCCTTGTTCACTCTCCCCTTACTATCTTTCTTTGTTACAGTGTCTTTCAAATAAATACATAAATCTTTTCAAAAATAACTTCATTAGCAAAACTGCATGACTCCATAAAGTCAGAATAGTGCTTACCTCTATAGGAGTAGGGTATAACTTGGGAAAGGACATGAAGGAACCTTATGGATACTGTAAAAATTTCTGTATTTTGAGCTAGATAGTGGTCACATGGGTAAGCATATATAAAATTACTGAGCAATATGCTTAAGAATAGAACTTTTTTTTAATGGTTTATTTATTTGGAAGTCAGAGTTAGAGGGAAAAACTGCTGGTTCACTCCCAAAAGAGCCACAACAAAATCAGAAACCTGGAACACTATCTGAGCCTCCCATGTGGATGGGAGAGACCCCTGTATTTGAGCCATCTTTGGCTGCTTTCCCAGACGCATCATTTGTGAGGAGCTAGGTCAGACGTGGAGCAGCTAGGATTCAAACCGGTGCCCCTATGGGAAACTGGCGTTGTAGGTGATTGCTTAACCTGCTGCATCCTAACTCTGGCCCCAAGAATAGGACATTTTATGCATTTAGATGCATGCATGGTATGCCTCAGAAATGTCATTTATCACTGTCGTTTTAGTAAACTTTGTAGAGAATAACACAGGTACACATGTAATTTCAGTTTACTGTCTTTCACAAAAAATAGATAATGTTGAAACATTGAAAACCATCTAATTTGGGGCCAACATCATAGCATGTCAGGTTAACCTGCTGTCTGCCACGTTGGCATCCCATACGGGCACCAGTTTGAGACCTGGCTGCTCACTTCGAAGCTGCCTCCTAATAAGGTGACTGGGAAAGCAGTGGAAGATGGCTCAAGTGTTTGGGCCCCTGTACCCTCATGTGAGACCTGGAAGAAGCTCCGAGCTCCTGGCTTCGGTCTGGCCATTGCAGCCATTTGGGGAGTGAACCAGCAGATGGAAGATCTCTGTTTTTCTCTCCCTCTCTGTAACTCTGCCTTTCAAATAAATAAAAATTTAAAAATAAAAACATTTCATTGTTAATATAATTCAAATTTGCCTAGGGTTTACTATAAATTTTTATGTACTTAAATATATCTGTTTCTTACCATAAATTTAGGGATAATTGAGAACTAAATAGTGAAAATTGTTACAAATTCTATTTTATAAGGATAATTTTCTGTACATTCTTCCAGAATTTTCAAATGCAAATGTACACTTTCACTCATATTCCCACCTTGTGGTCTAGATCCAAAATTAAATAGGCATTTGAACAAAATTGTTCTTTCCTAACTGAATACTTTTTTTTTTTTTTCTGATTTACAGATATAAAGAAAGTTGTACAGAAATACAGACTATCAGGAAATTGCCACATGGTTACATTTCAACTTGAGTTTCAGATTCTGGAAATTCAGGTAAATTAAGTAGCATTTTCTGATGAGATGATTCTGCCATAAGATAAATAATTCCCACCTAGTGCACATCCTCCAGCACTGGCTGGGCTCATGAGGGGTTCATGACCCAGGGCCTCCTGGTAGCACAGATGCAGAGTGGTACAATAAACACCCCAACAACTTCATATGATTGAGCTGCTGCTGAGGAATTGGGTGCTTTGTTTTTAGACAGATGGCAGGGTGCTCCACGGCTCCCAGAGCAAGCCCTTGAGACTGTGAGAAAAGTCCTGAATGCCCCTGGTTGTTAGCTCATAGACCAGCCACCTGTTGTCTATTGGTGACCTGTTGCTGCTAAATAGATTTCTGCAGCATTTATCATATTAAAACAGCAAAAATATTTGTTGTCTTACCCATTTTCTGTGGATTAGAAATTTAGGAGCAGCTCAGTTGGATGTCCTTATTCAGGGCCGCTTATGAGGTTGTGTTCATCTGGAGCTCTGTAGGCTGTTTGGGAGTAGATGATCCCACAGGTTGTGCTGCTAAGACTGTCAGATAAGATCCGGAAACAGAAAATAATGAAACATAGATGCAAAAATCCTCAACAAAATTCTAGCCAGTCAAATCCAACAACACATCAGAAAGATCATTTACCCAGAACAAATGAGATTTATCCCTGATACGCAGGGATGGTTCAACATTTGCAAATCAATCAATGTGGTACATCACATTAAGAAACTGCAGAACAAAAAAGTATGTTTATCTCAATAGATACAGAGAAAGCATTTGATAAAATACAACACCCTTTCATGATGAAAACTCCAAGCAAATTAGGTATAGAAGGAATATTAGGTATAGAAGGAATATTACTCAACACAGTCAAGGCAATTTATGACAAACCCACGGCCAGCATCCTATTGAATGGGGAAATGTTGGAAGCATTCCCGCTGAGATCTGGAACCAGACAAGGATGCTCACTCTCACCATTGCTATTCAATATAGTCCTGGAAGTTCTAGCCAGAGCCATTAGGCATGAAAAATAAATCAAAGGGATACAAATTGGTATGGAGGAAGTCAAGCTGTCCCTATTTGCAGACAATATGATTGCATATATAGGGGATCTAAAAGACTCCACTAAGAGACTATTAGAACTCATAGAAGAGTTTGGTAAAGTAGTGGGGTATAAAATTAATACACAAAAATCAACAACCTTTGTATACAATGTCATGACTAAGAAAGAACTTATAAGATCAATCCTATTCACAACAGCTACCAAAAAAAAAAAAATCAAATACCTTGGAATAAATTTAACCAAGGATGTCAAAGATCTCTATGATGAAAATTACAAAACATTAAAGAAATAGAAAAGATACAAAAAAAAAAAAAAAGGAAAAATCTCCCATGTTCATAGATTGGAAGAATCAATCAAATGGATCAGTGGAGAATGGGACTGGGAATAGGAAGAGGAGGAGGAGAGGTGAGAGTGTGGGTGGGAGGGGCGGGTATGCTGGGAAGAATCACTATATTCTTAAAGTTGTACTTCTGAAATGTATGAAGTTTTTATTCGTTAAATAAAAGGTTTCTTTGGGGAAAAAAAAAAAACGAAAATGAAAAGACAGAGTGGTAACATGTAGCCCCGTTGGCCAGCTGGCTCTGAGAAGAGTGGGACCCAGGCCAATTAGAACAGGCTTAGGCTGGGCACATGCTTTGATGACAGAGAGCTGTTTTGACTAGTTAATTTTCCCCAGTGGAGCCTACAAGGAGTAAGTGCAAAGAAGAAAAATGTATCGGGGAACGACAGGCAGGCTGCCTTAGTCTCAGCTCAACAGATAACTAAAATGAATGTAGGGGCTGGCGCGGTGGCTCACTGGTTAATCCTCCACCTGCAGCGCCAGCATCCCATATGGGTGCTGGGTTCTAGTCCCGGCTGCTCCTCTTCCAGTCCAGCTCTCTGCTGTAGCCCTGGAGGGCAGTGGAGGGTGGCCCAAGTCCTTGGGCCCCAGCACCTGCATGTGAGACTGGGAAGAAGCACCTGACTCTTGGCTTTGGATTGGCACAGCACCGGCTGTGACGGCCATTTGGGGAGTGAACCAACAGAGGGAAGACCTTTCTCTCTGTCTCTCTCTCACTGTCTATAACTCTACCTGTCAAATAATAAAAAATAAAATGAATGTAGAGCAATTGTCACAGTGACACACTGAATACTCTTCTGTGTGCTGGCATCCAGGACTGCAGGCCAACGCATGTTACAGAGCTATAAGCCTGTGGTCCAGGTGCATCTCTGAGAATTTGAGCATTTGTGCTCACATTGTCTAGCAAACTGCTCAGAGGTGTCCTAACAGCCTTGAGCTTGCACACTTTCTCTGCTGTGACACTCATCTCTTTTCACAGTTGCTCAGTGGGTTATCTGGAGGGAAGTTAGGTGGTGGGCAAAATTAGTCTCATCCTTGGGAGACTTAGAAATCTAACTGAAAAGAGAAAGCCTACCCTCTGGAGTGAAGCTGTACTTGCTCAGGGATTGTTTAGTATGCTGGTTGGTGGGCTATGGACTGGGAGATTATAGACTGCAGTATTTGAACTTCATTTAAATCTCATACTTAATCACCTTAAGTCTCTTGTAGAAATCATCAAACAGTATTATGCCGCCATTCTAAGATCAAGGGTGGCATGGCATAGAAAACAGTTTTGATAATGCAGTGTGCTGCTGAAGCAGCAGCACCAATCCAGACTGCAACTTTTTTTTGTTGTTGTTTGTTTTTAAATATTTATTTATTTGTTTGAAAGATAGAGTTACAGAGAGGCAGAGTCAGGGAGAGAGGGCGTCTTCCATCCACTGGTTCAGTCCTCGAATGGCCACAATGGCTGGAACTGAGCTGATCTGAAGCGAAGAGCTTCTTCTGGGTCTCCCACAGAAGTGCAGGGGCCAAAGGACTTGGGCCATCTTTCACTGCTTTCCCAAGCTGTAGCAGAGAGCTGGATCGGAAGTGGAGCAGCCAGGACGTGAATAGGCACCCATATAGGATGCTGGGACTACAGACGCTGGCTTTACCCTCTATGGCACAGCGCATTCCCCATCTCAACAGTATTTTAAGCTAATATTCTGGTCCCCTTACCACCAAAGCTTGATTGCAAATTTTTTTAAAAAGATTTTTATTATTTGAGAGAGACGGTTATAGAGAGAGGGAGAGGCGGAGAGAAAGCTCTTCCATCTACTGGTCTACTCCCCAAATGGCCACAATGGCCAGAGCTGGGCTGATCGGAAGTCAGGAGCTTCTTCTGGGTCTCTCATGTGTATGAAGGGGCCCATCCACTGCCTTCCCAGGACATAACAGAGAGCTGGATTGGAATAGGAGCTGCCGGGACTGGAACTGGCATCCATATGGGATGCCAGTGCCACAAGCAGAGGTTTAGCCCTTTATGCCACAGCATAGGCCTGTTGACTGCAAGTTTTATGATCATCTGTCAGCGGCCTAAAGTTACACTGTTTGCTTATATGCTCCATGTGTTGGAATTAGTTGAGCTGCATCCGATGGAACTTCTGCCATCAGCCATACATGGCTTCCAGATCAGTGATCCCTTTAATGTTTCAGACATCAGGAAGGAGAGGGTCACAAAAGGCTAACCTTTTCCTTTGAGGGATTCTTTCTAGAAATTATACATTTGTCATTTTCACTTACATTTTATTAGCCAATAAATTAATGAAAGAGGTGCTGAAAATTTAGTATTCATTATGCACAGTTGTATGGCCAGTGAAAAAATGGGGCAAGAAAGTACTATTAGGTTCTACTAGCAGTTATGGTTTAGGGGCTGCAGGGGCTGCGGGCAAAGCAAAAGAGAGGAACTGTTAATATCCTTTAAAAGACACATAATAGTGGCCAGCGCTATGGCATATTGGGTAAAGCTGTTGCCTGCAGTGCAGGCATCCCATATGGGTGCCGGTTCAAGTCCTGGCTACTCTTCCTCCAATCCTGTTCCCAGCTATGGCCTGGGAAAGCAGTAGTAGAAGATGGTCCAAGTCCTTGGGCCCCTGCACCCACATGGGAGACCAGGAAGAAGCTTCTGGCTTCGGATTGGCACAGCTCCAGCCATTGTGGCCAACTGGGGAGTGAACCAGTGGATGGAAGACTTCTCTCTGCCTCTCCTCTCTCTGTTTAACTCTGACTTTCAAATAAATAAATAAACTTTAAAAAAGTCACATACTTATTGTTTATCTAGAGAGACGTGAGTTGTCATTTTCAGATTTAAAAGTATGTAGATATTTTAAGACTGCTTAATTTTACTAACAGTGCGCTGCAGGAAAAGCGTGCTCCCCCTGGTTCTGCCAAGAACATGCACTTTGCCTCTGAGTCTTTTTAGTTCTATGATGCTTCTTGAAGACCAGACTGATAAGCAAGATGTTGGAAGCAATCACAGATGGCTGTGGAGTCACAGGGTTTTAGGATCAGTCAAGTGGGAGGCAGGCACCGGGGTTCTTGGAGAAGAAAGCAACAAAGAACCATCTTTTTTCCTTTGTTGCTTAAAATTCTGATAAGGGGATTTAAATTGTTTTTCAATTTTTTTTATTTAGTAGTAAATCCTAATATGTTCTAGGCTTACTTGTGTAAATATTCTTTAGAAATATATCTCTGGTAGAATTGCTAGGTCAAAGGGCATGTGCAAATAAATTCTGATGACTAGTCCTAAATCGCTCTCTAACATGGTTTTACTGTTTTTACCTTTTGAGCATATTTTTACTGTAGAGACTAATAGTGAAAAACAGATGAAGATAGCAACATTGGATTTTTTTTTTATTTCCACCAGAGGGAGATATTTAGCTATTAGAAAATTTAAAATAATCTAAATAAAACTCTCACTTTATAGAATTTTCAAAGACTTATTGCATTATAAATTTTTATTAATACCATATTTGAATGAAAAGTAACCTTATGGATTATTTACGTGTCAACCTTCTTACAGGGAAATCTACCTAGAGAGTTTGAACGACTACCGGTATTGTTGCAGCTATGACTGTGAAAGGCGATCCCTTGTTAAACTCTGTTCTCCAGATCTACTGTCTGGTGTTGGTGGTACTGTGATGTTTGTTAGGGGTTGTAACGCCATCAGAACGAACGTGTAGTGTCGACCTTCATAGTCCAAGCAGCATAATAAATCGGGGGACGGTAATTAGTTGGGGAAGTGATATATTAAGTGTATTTGCATAACTTCTGTTCCTAAAAATTCAATGACATGAACAGGATAACTCAAAAATAGGGAATTTCTTATTGAAGAGACTATAAACCCATTATCAGAGGCTCCCCCCCAAAAAAAAATCTGCCTGATATTTTGACATTTGAAACAGAATACTGAAACCTTCATGAGAAATATATGAAGTTTGTCAAGTTAACAGGACCATTTTTCTATGCATCTTTAACTACAATCTTTAAATGATAGAGGCAGATGAGAACTGCAAGCCTGGATCAAATGGACCGTGGTAGAAAGAAATGTGCTGCTAAGACTCTAGTGGCTTTATGGTCAGCTTGTTTATAGGCTTCCTTTCCTAGTCTACCAGCCGGGAAGAAGTGACCTGGTTAGCAGAACCACAGGCAAGAGAGATGGAAAAACAGTATCTTGAAGTCAGCTTTCCAGTGGGTGAACATAGTCCACAACCCACCAAAGGGAAAAAATGAGAGAGAAGGAAGTGCCAGTAAATCCTAGACTTTCTGTTGACGAAAGGCAAAATCGAACATGTACCCACATACACTCACACCAGAGACAAGAAGCCCTCCCAGATTGCTGTTTCTTTTTTTTTGGTCAGAGTTCGATTGAGATACAATTCACATCATGTAATTAATCCATTTAAAGTAAACAATTCAGTCATTTTTAGTGTGCTCAGAGTTCTGCAACCACCAGCACAATCAATTTTAGAACATTTTTACCACTTCAAGAAACCTTGTATTCTGTAAATATTTCCCTTCAGTCCAATCCCCTCCTCCTACCCCCCTCCCCCCCAGTTCTTTTGCTTAGCTCTAAGGAACCAGTAATTCATTTTTTGTGTTTTTTTCTCTGAGTTTTCTTCTCTTGGATGTATAAATGGAATCATAAAATGTGTGATCTGATAATCTGCCTTCTTTTACTTACATAATGTTTTCAAGGTTCATCCATATTGTAGCATGGTGTTAATACTTTTTTTTGGCTGAATAATATTCCATGGTGTGTGTGTGTGTGTGTGTGTGTGTGTGTATATATATATATATATACATACTTTATATGTGTATATATATATATTTTATTCATTCCATCACTTGATGGAAATGGTTTTTGCTTTTTGGCTATTATGCATAATACTGCTAAAAACATTCACATGCAAGTTTTTAAGATTTATAATTTTTTTGAAAGGTGAAATGACAGAGGGGAAGAGAGAGCAAGATTAAGTGCTTCCATATGCTGATTCACTCCACAAATGGCCGTAACAGCCGCAGCTGGGCCAGGCTAAAGCCAGGAGCCCAGAATTTCATCCACATTTTGTGTGTGGTTGACAGGTCTACAACCGCTGCTTTCCCAGATTCATTAGCAGGGAGTTAGACCAGAAGTAGGACAGCCAGGACTCAGTCTGGCACTCTGATATGGGTTGCTTTCATTACGAGCAGGTGAATCTGCTGCAGCACACAGCAGCCCCATAGAGGTGGAATTCCTGGGTCAAATGGAGCAACTAGATGATGACTTTTGATATGGAGCATTCTGTCATATGCCTACTTGCCATCTGTATTTCTTCTTTGGAGAAATATAGAGTCTTTGCCCAATTTTTAATTGGGTTATTTTTCTTTTTTTAGTTATAAGAGTGCCTCTGGAATTTTTGACTAGATGGTAGATGCCATAGCTGACTTAAACTGTAGTTGCTCCTAACAGTTCCCACTATATAATCAAGCAAGCAAAAAGGTAAACATTTTAGGTTATCAATGTCTATTTCTCCAACAGCTCAGGATATAAAGAATTATGTCAGATTGTATCTAGACAGATGGAGGAGAGTAGCAAGGAGTATCCAAGCCATCCAGTTTGAGGAAATAGCAAAAATTACTAGATTTCTTGCTATCGATATTAATAAGAACTACAGAGTTGAAAGCACAAAGATGGTATAGAGTTCTCTCATCATATTGGACACAAGACCTAAAATCATGGCAAAAGTGCTGACTTGAAAAGAAAATTACTAAGAAAATGCAGGTAAATCCATTTTGGAAGAATGAATCCAGGAAATACAAAAACATGCTATATAAAAACTGCTCTGGGTGTTGGCCTTGTGGCGCAGTAGGTTAAGCCACCAGTCACCACACCAGCATGCCATATTGGAGTGCTAGTTCCAATCTATTACTCTGCTTCCCGTACAGCTCCTTGCCATGTACATGGGAAAGGAGCAAATAATGGCCCGAGTAGTTGGGTCCCTGCCACCTACATAGGAGATTGGGGTGGACTTCCTGGCTTGGGCCTGTGCCAGTCCTGGCTGTTGCAGCCATTTGGGGAATGAACCAGAAGATCTCTCTCTGTGTGTGTCTCAGTCTCTCTGTTGCTCTGCCTTTTTTTTTTTTTTTTTTTTAAGAAAACTTACTTAATAAATATAAATTTCCAAAGTACAACTTTTGGATTATAGCAGTTTTTCCTCCCATAACCACCCTGCCACCCGCAAACCATTCCATCTCCTACTCCCTCTCCCGTCCCATTCTTCATTAAGATTCATTTTTAATTATATACAGAAGATCAACTTAGTATATACTAAGTAAAGATTTCAACAGTTTGCACCCACATAGACACACAAAGTATAAAGAACTCTGCCTTTCAAATAATTAAATTTTTTAATAAGCTACTCTGACTTAAAGCGTAAAGCACAAATTGAATGGGTGGACTGAAAGAAAAAAGAATAAAAGGACTGTAATACTGACAACTGCACTAAAAGTTTCAGGGATAGAATGAGGATAGCCTTGAGGAAAATCACCTGTAAAAGCAATTGAAAAGAAGATAATATTAAGACAGTGGAGAGCCACTAAATGATATTTCCAAAGCAAAAATAGAAAAAACTATAGACAAATATGTAATAGAAAAAATTTTACTTTTGTAAAAAGGAAAACCATTTTCAGATCAAAATAACAGTTTATTTAACAAGCCCATTGAGTATGGAGTTGTTTCTGGCTTTCTGTGATTAATACTTTATGAATATCTTTATTCATGTCATTGTTTTCTTATAATTTTAGTATAGATTCTTAGAAGTCAAAATAATCAAAGTAAATATTTTAAAGTATTCGTTGTCAAAATTATGTTTCTTCCAAATGGTTTATGGTTTTAGTGTTTAAGTAATTCATTTGTGGTTCATTTTAGTTTTTGGTATAAAGATATGATTGCATTCTCCTAGCAAACATTTTCGGCACTTTTTTTTTTAAAGATTTATTGTATTTGAAAGGTAGAGTTACAGAGGGAGGGAGAGACAGAGAGGTCTTCCATCCCACTGGTTTACTCCCCAGATGGCTGCAACAGCTGGGCAGGCCCAGCCAGAGCTTCATCCAGGTCTCCCACGTGGGAGTAGGGGCCCCAGCACTTGGGCTATCTCCTGCTACTTTCCCAGGTGCATTAGTAGGGAGCTGGATTGGAAATGGAGCAACCGGGACTGGAACCAGTGCCCATACGCTACGCTGTCATCACAAGCAGTGGCTTTACCCACTACGTCATACTACCCGACCCCAGGATCATTTCTTGATTACCCTTTTCTATTTGGTGACATTTCATTTTGTGTATTTTACAGTATTTTTTATCTTTATTTGAAAGTTACTGTGCTCTGATACATAAACTTTATATCTTTATTATAGGATAATGAGAGTTTATCTTCTGTTATTACTGACCTCAACATAATAATGGAGCCCACAGAATATCCAGAATTAAGTGAATTTATATGTAGGTAAGCAGTTTTTATAATTTTTTTTAGGGAATCTTTTCACACCTCGGTTTTAAGTTTACCCTTTCTTGGTAAGTAAATAAGTCATCTCTGAAATCATAACACAACATTCTCTGTATCTGTGATCCACTCTATATGTATTGTACATTCATTATGTTCTTGGCATTTAAATTGTGAGCAAAACCAGATACAGTCTTCCATGATGGAATTTTAAAAAAAATTACTTAATTCATTAAAAATTGTTATTTTAAAAATTTATTTATTTGAAAGGGAGAGTTACAGAGAAAGATAGACAGATATCATCTATCTACTGATTGATCCCCAAATGGCTCCAAGGGCCAGGGCTAGCCTGAAGCTCTTTCTGGGTCTCCTATGTAGGTGGCAGGGGCCCAAGCACTTGGGCCATCTTCACTGCTTTCCCAGGCACATTAGCAAGGAGCTGGATTGGAAGTGGAACAGCTGCGACTTGAATCAGTGTTCATCTGGAATGTTGATGTTGCAGATGGTGACTTAAACACTGCACTACAATAGCAGCCCATTTTCATTTTATTTGAGAGACAGCATGTGAGCACATGTTCCCATCTCTGGTTCACTCCCCAAATGCCTACAACAGCTGAAGTTGAGCCAGGCCACATTCAGGAGCCTGGATTCATTATGAGTCTTGCACGTGGGTGACAGGGACCCAAGCTCTTGAGCCATCAGCTGCTGCCTTTCAGGTTTCACATTATCAGTTAGCTGGAATTAAACACACATCCAAGCACTCCAACGTGAGACGCCTTGTTAACCACTGCACCAAGTGTTTCCACCACCTAGTACTTACTGCCTACTGGAAAAGTCCTCTATTAATCAAGTAATTTCAAAAATGTAAAATTCTGGCTATGTTAAATACTACAAAGAAGAATCATATTGTACCGCTGGAGCAATTGTCAAGAATTTGATGCTATCACAGAAAATATGGGTTAATGTCCCAGTGCTTGAGCTGACTTTTAGTTATGAGTTAACCCAGAATTCCTTGACATAAGCAATTGTCTTGCCTCAGCACTGTGCCAAAAGGGAGCATGACATCTGGGAGCAACTGATAGGAAGCCAGAGCAATGAGAGGGTAGCAGGAGCACAGGGCAGCGAGGCTAGAGAAGTATGTAAGGTCCAACTTTATAGAGTTTCTTGTAAGGTGTTAGCTCACAGTCCTAAGAACAAAGTGAAACTACTGAAAGGCTTTGAGCAGAGTCTGAAGAAGGCAGACATGTGACATCCAAGGAAGAATTGTTCTGGAGGCTACAGGGAGAATGGATTGAAGGGGTACGATAGCAAGTACAGTGAGGGCAGTAATGACTAGCTTATTAGAACAGTTCAGGCAAGAACAGTTCATACTTTGGACTAGAATGAAAATAGTAGAAATGGATTAGGGGGACATTTAGGAAGCAAAGTAGTTGGGGACATGTCATCGGTTGAATGAGAGGTCAGTGGTCTCTGACAGGGATTAACTCCTTGATGGTGGTGGCACCATTTGCTAAGAAGGGAAAGTTGGAAGAGAACCATGTCATGAGAATGCAGTGTCATTTTGTACACGTTAGACTTGAGTTCCTATGAAATACTAAAATAAAAATGGGAAGTAGGCAGCTCGGAACATACGTGGGTAGGAGATAGAACACTGAAGTGGTCACCCGGTGGGTAGAAATGAATGCCTTGAGCAGGAGTGGAGTTGCCTATGGAGGGAAGTTAGAATGAAAGTACGAGAGGGCCTGGAGCTGAGCCTCGAGGAATCTAGAATGTGCTAGCTGAATAGGAGAGTAAGATCCTTCAGAGAAGTTGGAAAAGGAAGTACCTAAGAGGAAGGAGAAAAAACAGGGATGTGTTTTATAGAGATGACATTTTTCCTTTTGTCCAGGCCCTGCTTGGAAGTAGCATCTGCTATTTGGAAGTTACGAAAGGAAGAATGGTGTAATGTCTATCCCTTGTATAATAGTCATGTTATAATGTAGTTAGTTAATAATATATTATCTCAACCCCCCCCCCCCTTTTAAGATTTATTTATTTGAAAGGCAGAGTTATAGAGAGGCAGAGGCAGAGAGAGATTTTTCATCTACTGGTTCATTCCGTAAATGGCCTTAATGGCTGGAGCTGGGCCTATCCGAAGCCAGGAGCCAGGAGTTTCCTGTGGGTCTTCCATGCAGGTGCAGGGGCCCATGCACTTGGGACATCTTCTGCTTTCCCAGGCTATAAACAGAGAGCTGGATTGGAAGTGGAGCAGCCGAGACTCGAACTAACTGCTATATGGGATGCCAGAACTGTAGGCGGCCACTTTACCCGCTGTGCCACAGCACCCGTCCCATCTCAGCCCTTTTGATTATTCTAATAGACTGGGTTGCCACTTTGTGGAGAGTGACTTGTATTTTAGAAAGGATGCTGGTCATACATAGGTCAGAGACCTGGGTTTGAGGCCAGACTCTATTGCCCTTGTATAAATTCTTATTTTGTTTTTTCTTCTTTGTGCTGTAATGTAATATAAATGCTACATGCCTAAACATAAATTTACTTTTAGTTTTCCCTTAAATGTCTGTAGTTTTTCAGACTGAGAATTGTATCTTTAATTTTTGGAAAACTTGTAAAAATTGGTTTTTTTTTTTTTTTGACTCTTGCTATTACCCTGATCTTCCCTTATCCTAGTATGCATTCATATAAAATGCTAAACCTCTCACAAATAGAATAAGAACAATAATATGCTTGCAATTTCTTTCAGCCTTTGTGCCTTTATTGTCATATAATTCACTTTTGTGTGTGTTAACAGTTTCCTGAGTATGTGTTACTTATTTTGCTTTAGACCATCCATTACATTTTAAAGTATTTAGAAATAAAAGAGATGGTTTTGCATGTTTATCTTCATTTTTACCATTTCCAACATTCTTCAATGATTTATATTGACTCAGGTCTCTAACTGGCACACTCCTTTTGCCTTAAGAACTTCCTTTAATATTGGGCTGATCTGTTTGCCATTAATTCTGTCAGTCTGTTTCTCTGAAAAGATGTTTATTTGCCTTCATTTTTAAAAAAAGATTTATTTATTTTTATTTGAAAGACAGAGTTACACAGAGAATGAGAGACAGAGAGCGAGCCTCCATCCACTGATTCACTCCCCAAATGGCTATAACAACCTGGGCTGGGCCAGGCCAAAGCAGAAGCCAGGAGCTTCTTCTATGTCTCCCAGATGGATGCAGGGGTCCAAGGAATTGGGCCATCCTCCACTGCTTTCCCATGTGCATTAGCAGGGAGCTGGATTCTTTTTTTTTTTTTTTTTTTAACTTTTATTTAGTAGATATAAATTTCCAAAGTACAGTTTATGGATTACAGTGGCTTCCCTCCCCCCCCATAACTTCCCTCCCACCCACACCCCTCCCATGTCCCGCTCCCTCTCCCATTCTATTCACATCAAGATTTGTTTTCAATTATCTTTGTATACAGAAGATCAATTTAGTATATATTAAGTAAAGATTTCATCAGTTTGCCCCCACACAGAACACAAAGTGCAAAATACTGTTTGAGCACTAGTCATATCATTGATTCACATTGAACTACACATTAAGGACAGAGATCCTACATGAGGAGTAAGTACACAGTGACTCCTGTTGTTGACTTAACAAATTGACACTCTTGTTTAAGGTGTCAGCAATCTCCCCAGGCTCTGGTCATGAGTTGCCAAGGCCATGGAAGCCCCCTGAGCTCGCTGACTTTGATCTTATTTCGACAAGGCCATAGTCAAAGTGGAGGTTCTCTCCTCCCTTCAGAGAAAAGTACCTCCTTCTTTGATGGCCCGTTCTTTCCACTGGGATCTCACTCGCAGAGATCTTTCATTTAGGTTTGTTTTTTGTGTTTGTGTGTGTGTGTGTGTTTTGTTTTTGTTTTTGCCAGATTGCCTTGGCTTTCCATGCCTATAATACTCTCATGGGCTCTTCAGCCAGATCCGAATGCCTTAAGGGCTGATTCTGAGGCCAGAGTGCTATTTAGGACATCTGCCCTTCTATGAGTCTTCTGTGTAAGGGAGCTGGATTCTAAGTTGAGCAGCCAGGAGTTGAACTGGGATGCTGGTGCTGTGGGCCATGGCTTAACCTGTTGTGCCACAGTGCGGGCCCCTGCCTTTATTTTTTATTTATTTATTTATTTTTAATTCAAAAGGCAGAGTTATAGTTAAGGAGAAACAGAGATCTTCCACCCACTGACACACTCCCCAGATGAAGGTAACCAAGGCTGGGCCGGACTCAAGCCAGGAACTTGGAACTCCATCAGGCTCTTCCATGTGGGTGGCAGGGGTCCGAGGACTTGGGCCATCATCTGTTGCTTTCCTAGGAGCATTTGCAGGGAGCTGGATCAGAAGCAGAACAGCTGGGACTTGGGACTCTGATATGGTATGCTGACATGCAAGCAGCAGCTTAATCCTGTATTCCACAACATTGGCCCCTGCCTTCATTTTTTGAAAGGTACTTTTCTGGCTACAGGATTCTTGGTTGACAGTTTTTCTTTCCTATCTCTAAAGATATGCTTTTATTGTCTTCTGTATTACTCAGGTTGTGAACAGAAGTCTGCTGGGATTGTTACATTTGATTTCTGTATTAAAATGTGTGTTTGAAGATTGCCTTCCAGCCTTTGATGTATGTTTTTTTTCCCCACAGTTTATGCTATATCCAGGGTGTATTTGTGTGAAAATTCGATCTGTATCTTCAAATGTTCATTTTTCCCAGAACTCTACTGCTCTACCACTCTAATTACACATATGTTAGACAGTGTTTAGTGTCATCTCACAATGTTTAGATGCTGTGTTCTTTAACTCTTATAGCCTTGTGTTTCACTTTGATCATTTCTGTTAACACATGTCCAAGTTCACAGATTGTTTCCCAGCTGAAGTATAGTCTGCTGGTGACCCATGGAAGAAATTCATCTTTCTTGCAATGTTTTTTATTTCTAGCATTTCTATTTAATTCTTTATTTCTCTCTTTCCACATTTTCCATGT